GGACCATGACGCATATGCTGTTCCTCCGGACGTTATCTTCTGGAAGAACTTGCTCACGGACCCCTTCTACAACGAAGACGAAGAGGATGAGGTTAGTTCGTTGCAATAGTTCAATTGTTTACAATTCACGAAGCGTTCTACATTTTACCGCGCTTACTTTACTATGACAAGATTAACAACAAGCCGCGCGTAAACATATTTATATTGTTCCTTTCCTTGTTATTACATGCCTGGAGTAAATTTAACTACATTATTACGTTTAAAAACGGCCTTAGCACCTACTACTGTTTATGTTATCACGATTGTTGACTTAAAAAACACACAAAGATTCTTAATAGAGTATTTTTAGGGACAAAAATTAGTCAATTTGAATACCAGACAGATTTTAGCAATAAAAGATAAATAATAAATAGTTACAATCGCTGATTTCTCTCAAAATAAAATATATTTATAACATAATTAAACATATGAACATTAATTTCCACTTATAATAATCATTTAAACTATAATTAACTAATATTGTTCATTAGTAAAGTCTTTGCTTAAAATCAATACTTTAACGTCACCTTGCTAGTTACGAGTCCTTTTAAATGGTTTTCGTTTTGTTGGACATTGTATTGGACGGCATATTAATTAAGGAGAGCCATTTACGAGTTGCAAATGGGCTCCTTAAGGGGGCGCTGGCGGCCGATGATGTCAAATTGCGCAGGATTTCCTGTTAAGTAGACGATGTCAATGCGACGTGTCGCTAACAATGTGACTATACTCCCATAAATTTATCTGGCCCGGTGATTGTGTTTGGAACTAATTCTATACTAAGATTATAAAGAGGAAAGATTTGTAGTTTTGTATCTATAACTCAAAAACTACTGTGCCGATTTAAAAATTTCTTACACTGTTTCAAAGGCCATTTACTTTGTAATTTTACGCGACAGAAGTCGCGAGCAACAGCTAGTTTGCGACATAATTGCGACTTCGCCCGCGTGAAATTACAACGTAATAATAAATACAGCCCCACTCATTGATAACGTAGTAGATTTTTGATGGTGAATGATTTTTTGAAATCGGCCCAGTAGTTTTTGAGTTATTTCAATACATATGAAAATACAAATCTTTCCTCTTTGTAATATTAGTACAGATAACTCTTTACCGCTCCCCTGATAGAGTTGCAAAAAGATTATAGCTAGACTGTTCATGTGTTGTCCCATTTGTCATTTTCTATACCGAACTAACTTTAACTTTCACCGGGCCAAATAAGTTTGTAAGACTATAAGCAAGGTTGACGTATGTTCCGTTCGGATATGTTTATGGAAGAGCCCATATGCTAATGTTTTGATGAAATTTAGTACGCGTATCCAAACAGTTGAATATTGCTTTATTGTGAAAAGAATTGCCAACGCATTCCAAATATTTAGTGCTATTAAATCGTTAGAGAACATCTTTTATTGAAAAGAATTAACAAACATAACCTACAATTCACTCACGTCACAAACTCAAACAAACGATAAAATGAATAGAGTTTATCAACGAATACTTATCAATTGACGACATCGCTTTGAATTCTTAGCAGCTGTAAAAATAGTTTACTAACGCCAGATTAACTTAGTTTAAACAGCCGTTAACATATCTATTTACGTCAAGAATTGTTAACCGTTAATTAAAACACTATTCGCGTTTTACCAACTCTATAAAACATTATTAATATTTATCTACCATAGTTTACCTTAAAAGTCAATTGAGCATCTTTTAAGGTTTCTCCCAAATAATATTCGTGACTCCGTGTATTTGTCAACTAACTATAATAAATGAAATAACCTAACATTTGAATTAACTAATAAAAAAAACGTGATACATGTTCAAATAGACACTAACGAAGCAAAAACAACAATAACTTTTATAGTTGCGTAATATATTATGCAACCAAATATAAATGTCATAAGCGCAAATGTCATTGCATCTTGTAGAGTACATCTTTATTTTGTTGCATAATCGTTCGCTTTTTAAATTATCGACGCTGGATTTTCTACAGGCTAGTAATGAGGTCACAGATTAAAATAGTTCTTTGTTTATTTGTAATTTAATCATCGGTTGTTTTATTCGATTTCAAATAACTTTTAATAATTATTTACCAGTCCCTTAGTGTAAATTTATCGTACTTAGTTCATGCTCAGTGAGTTCCTTAGTCATTAATTCTTGAATTTGAGTGTGGTAGTCAAAATTTATCTTTAGTGTTGTTCAATAGTATTTCTCACATTTCTCAAAATTTGCTTTAGTAACAAAAAAATCTACCTGCTTTAGAGTATTCAAATATACACGAAATTGGTCTTTAAAATGGGGAAAGTTAAAAAAAGTTACATTGTATTTAAATTCTTGAAAGCAAGACAAATAATATTTCGGTGAGAATTTTGTATGCGGTCTTTATTGTTTGAAAACTATACATAGCATGATGTTTTACTGCATTTAGATGATGCTGTTATATATTACATGAAATCAAATGTATGACGTCATAATTACGTGTATAAAAAGTTTTCCTCGCGAAAATATGTGCAAAAATGTTACCAATAAGAGATGGCTATGAAATGTTTGTCTTTGAATATCAGATGGGCCAAAGAGTAAACAAGTGTAATCGAGAGTAGACTTTTAACTGTCATTTATATTGTAAATGTACCTAAGGGATTTTTTTTAACAATAGTCTTTGAAAGCCTTTTTTGCGTTAATTATGTATTTTAGATTAGTTATCTATATGCTATGTACATAATATTTCAGTCAATTGTTTTAAGGATTTAGTAGTTCTTAAAAAAAACACTTATGAAAAGTAAAAAGTTGGTTCCCACGGAGTTTGTATTTTTTGCTACTTTAAGCAAACAGACAAAAAAACTACTTCGTAAGATATTGGCTATTCACTAGCATATGCCCGAGACTTGACGCGTAATTAGAAAAACTTGTAACCAATGTGTTCTTCCAGACTATGTTTAGCATAGTGTACCATAAGAGCGGGCTCACAACTCTAAACTATCGCACAACTGTTGTGCGATTGTCGATTGTTTCGCAGCCTTCAACTGTTTAGTTGCCCTAAACATAGAGTAGTGTAGGTCCATAGCTCATAGGAATCAAAGCGAGAGTATACTGTATTGGGAGCGGTGTACGCGCTCTAAGCCGTTTTGCAGATACGTAACCACCCATCCAAATTTTGTAATAATACTAGCTATTACTAGCCGTCAGAATATAAAGTTACAAAATATTGCATTGTCAATTACATTACATATTTTTCTAATTATTTTATAAATGTTCTTTTACGTATAGTTAAAAAATATTTTATAGTCTGTCTTTATAATCTACTAGCTTTCGCCCGCGACTCCGTCCGCGTGGAATTTGATAAAAACAAAAGTGAGTAGCCTGTGTTCTGCCAGACTCTCCTCTTCATCAACACAAAATTTCATCGAAATCCGTTCGATTAGGCTACAAACTCTAACAAACATCCATCCATCTACACTTTCGCATTTATAATATAAGTATGATTAGTATGAAATTTGCGGTTTTGTTATAAAAGAGGGATATAAATATTATAAGAATAATAGAAAGGTTTTCAAACATCTGCAACTTCTAATCCGCCATAAAGTGTTTTCGTCTCTTTTACGCCCCTTCGTAAAACAGAGACGGAGATAGGCATGTTTCTGTAGATTGTAAAATTCTTGTTAAACGCGCTATAGTATGCTTTCTTTTATGTGGTCAATGAAATAACCCAGGGCCGAATTCTCTATAAATCTATTTAAGACTTTTCTACGTACAGATTAGTTCCTTTTTCTTTGTTTTACTTTTTCGTAAATTCAACGGTTTTGTTTTTAATTATATGTTTTAATACAACTGTTTTTTTTTACTTTATAATTAATACTAGGAACAATGTAATAAATTGCAATATAATTTAGAGGTTAGTTTTAATTTTTTCTTTATATATTATACTGCAACTTACTTAGTGTTATTTAAATATTATAAGCTGTTTCTTAGTGTTAAAATCAACACTAAATGTTTGCCGAAATAATAAAATTGTATACATATAATAAAATTGGAGTGTTTGTTTGTAATATCCAAAGAAATATTTCAGACGAGCTGTTGCCCGCGACTTCGTACGCATGGTATTAGAAAAGATACAAACTATAAAAATTACAAAAAGTTACGTATCCCTCGGGAACCGGACATTTCTCGGGGATGAAGCTTATCCCATGTGTACTCCAGACTTTGTTTTAGATCTGTGCCAAATTTCAATAAGATATGTTGAACCGTTGCAGAATGATCGAGTAAACATTAAAAAACTAAATTAATGAATCCCACGGGAACCGTAACTATTCCCGGGATAAAAAGTAGCCTATGTGTTCTTCCAGACTATGCTCTAAACCTGTGCCAAATTTTATAGAGATCCGTTCAGCCGTTTAGGCAACAAACGCTAACAAACATCCATCCATCCATCTATCCATATCTAAACTATCGCATTAATGATATTAGTAAGATTTCGGGAACATGATGTATTTGCATTGCTGATAACGAAAATCGCATTTTTTGTCTGTCTGTCCGTAAACCGCGTTTGTGTAGGGTCACCTCCGAAACGGCTTTGCTGATTTCGACGGGACTTTCACTGAAGGGTAGCTGACATAGATGAGCATATTATAGCTTCTTTTTATCTTAATATTGCGTGGAAGAAGTCGCGGGCTACAGCTAGTCTTGATATAAGAGAAAACTTTCTTATTTCTCGTTAATTTTAAACAATATCTCTATCTAATTAAATACCTTAAGTAACGGTTCATTGGTTGTTAATTACTTGTAAGTAGCAAAGCGATTACGCAAATAAATTCTTCAATCGATGAATCGACATGCAACCTCCTTCGTGCCGCCGCCATTTTAATATTTATAAACTGCGTTTGCGATTGCTGATCTGTTGTACTTAGGAAGCATTGACCTCTATAAATAGACGGGTTATAAATTATTTTGTGTGCTTTACGCCATTATAGCGGTGCTGTTGGTCGGAAAGTGTTTCTGTAGTAATAGTGAATAGACTTACCTGTCATTAACATTAAAAGGTGCGTAAATCGGAACGAAGCAAAAGTCATTACTTCTAAACAATTATCATCTGCCTACTGCTGGATTTTTTTTTTATAACATAAGGTGGCAAACGAGCAAGCGGCCACCTGAAACCGCGAAAATGGCGAAGCGATCGCTGCCCATAGACATCCGCAATTGCAGATGCGTTGCCTACCCTTATACGACGGAGGAGGAGACGCACATAAAGAGGATATTTCCCCTTCCTCTGCATCTCCTCCACCGTCAAATCCACTTCCTCTTCTCAACCTCTCCTTATAAGAAAAGGGTGGTAACGAGAAAGGGACTTAAATTAGGCCTCCGGCACCACACTCATCAGACGAAACACGGAATTGCTTCCATTTCACGCCTATCTTCTGTGTGGTTGTGGTATTACTGGGGGCGTGCTGGCCCATTCGTGCAAAGATGTTGAAGCGGGCACTACCACTGTTAAATATAGGCCTTCCACAATACCTTCCACAAAGTTCCACTAAACAATCGCCTGTCTATTATATATGTCTATGTTAGGAAGGTGTTTAACACGAGCATACTGCGAACACTTTTTCATTTATGTACACTCAGGAGCAAAAGTATGTGTCTACATTCTAGTTTTTTCTAGTTTCGAGACTAAATTTAAAACACTAATATAAAATTGGCAATACGTTATCGATTTATTATAAAATCTTTTGCAGCTTTGCTAATCATATTTTTAATAGGTCCTTATTTGGCTTGTTTTGGTGATTTTTAATTCTAAGTATCGCATTATTTAATTGGTGATTAGTGTAATTGCTGTTTTGTTATAGCATTTACTCTATGAAACGCCTTATTAACAAACTAGCTGTTCCCGTGCGGCTTCATCTGCATAAAATTGTGAAAATTTTATTTTATTGTTTACATTTGTCAAATTATCAATAACAAATGTCAAAATGACATGACGCTGACAAACCTTGGCAACCCTGCTTTCTTGATGTTGGCAGCAACTTACTCTCTTTCCCACATTAGGGTTTTTATCCAAAATATTTACCCCCTAAGTTTAATGGCGTGGAAATATATAGCCATATTTTTATAAATATATAAAAATATGGTGTAATTGCTGACATCTTAGGCAACAAAGAAGTGTGTGTTTACGCTTTATTATAATAGTATAGGTATATACTTATGGAGCTGACTGTACGAATGTTTCAAATTGATTTGTAATTCAGATTAGATAGAAAATAATGTTTTACAGCACTCGAGTGAACAAACTCGATTGAGAAATGTGAAAAAGAATTATGTGCCGGGTAAATGCAATTCATTATAATATAGGGTTGGTAAAAGTGCGTGAATTTTAAACTGGGAAATATTATAGATTTGTTCAATAACTTTATTCGTTAAATATTAACTAGCTTTCGCCCGCGACTCCGTCCGCGCGGAAAAAAAAACAAAAGCAAGTAGCCTATGCGTTCTTCCAGATAAACATCCATCCATCTAAACTTTCGCATTTATAATATTAGTAAGAAGTATAGTAAGATGTCACCTGCCGTATTTTTCTGTTAGTTTATAGGAATTTTAAGATCTAATTGAATATTATCTTATTAGTTTATTATTTGAGAATAAATTGTTTTTTCTTAAAGAGTGAAATAGACGCAATACTGCATTAGTTTAGGGTTTTCAAGGGCCCCTCTAAGACTAGAAACTTTTTAAACCGACGATGATTTTATCAGGTTACTATAAAACAAATGAAGATCCGATACAATTGATCTTCATCCTTTTTCCAACATAGGGTCATCACAGTATGTAATCT